AAAGAATTTAAAATATTTTTGATATAAATATAAATTAATAATCTTTTTTTCAATTTCAATAAATTAATTTAACATCTTCTTTATTTTATTCAACTTAATCATCTTAAGAATTATGAGTCTCTTAGATTCTTTGAATATAATTATAGATATCTAATTAATATCTACAGTATTATTTAATGGATTAATAGATAAATAACTTATTTTTATAAAGATATTTTTAATAATCTATTAAATATCTAACAGTTTTTTAAAGACTAACATTAAAATTATTATTAATTTTAATATAATTTTTGATTTTTCAATTTTTTGTAATTAAATAGAATTTATTAATTGTAAGTAATTGATTGTAATAATCAAGCAAATCAGATCTTTATTTAAATTGTAATTATTGGAATAAGTATTTATTAAATTCAGAAATACTTTGCTATTATTATAAAATTATAATATAATGATAACAATTAATTAACAATTATTATAGTATAACAAAACTATTAAAATTATTCTACAAATCATATGTAAAATAAATATCAATCTAATTACAATTTATCCACTTCAGATTAACTCTTTTAAACTGATTTTTATGGTGATGGTTATACTACTTCAATTAAATATTACGGTTATAATAAATTATCTTTCTTTATTTATGTACTAGTAAATCAATGGTTAAATACTTTTTATTTAAACAATAACAATATTAAATTATCTAGTATTCAAATAATCCCACACAAACCTATTCATTGTTAATCTCTTTTTTTAAATAGCATTCAATGGGATCGTTGATTTAGACTTCCAAACTATCTCTTAATTATTTAATTTTAATTGGGGAAGCTGATTCAGTGAATAAAAAATGTCCCAATTCAAACTAATCAAAAATTTTATGAAATATTTACATCCTCTTTTTATTTAATTTTAAAAAGTGTAAATTTAATAGTATAAATATCAGATGAAACTACAATTCCCATTAAAGAACCAATAAATTTATTAAGTTATAATGATTTAGATTTTCCTAAATATTTTTATTCATTAAATGCTTTTATTTGAAAATGAGGTGGATTATTGTTATTATTACTAAATTTTGAAAATAAACTCAATTATAGTGGTATTATAAATAAGAATTTACTTTATTTTCCTACTTATTTTAGAAAATTCATATTTGAATATTTTGATCCTTCAAATCCTTTTCCTAATATGTTTTATATTTATTAAGTTATAGTATCTTAATTTGTTTATAATTTTGATTTATGAAATCTCTACATAATTCTTAAATCAGATTTATGATTTTAATAATCTTATTGATGTTTTTAAGAATTAATGACTGATGGTAGTGAATATATTCTAATTGCTAGACTTTTATTTTCATTATTTATTGTATTCAAATACATATTAACTTTAGAACTTCTAATATTTGAACGTGTTGTTGATTATGCACCATTCATTGATTTATTATTGTTATTTAATAGTTTTAACATTAAATTTTTATCTATTCTTGATTTTTCTATATTTTATTATTAAGTATAGAATTATTATGTTAGTTTCATTTATTCATGTTTATGCTTTAATTTTTACATAATCCTATCTGAATTTAATTGTAATGGCTAGAACTATTATTTGATAAAATACTTATGAAAGTATCTCTTTCAATTTGTTTTTATGAAATTAAAATTATCTCTCTTGATTCTTTTCATAAATAACATCTTTGATTAAATAAGTACTTTTCATAGATATATAATTAAGTTTATATTACTATTAAATTTAATTATATATATTATAATAATATGAAAATGTATTTTGAAAATAAATTTATAAGGATTTTAAAAAACAATTAGTTCTAATTATACTCTTATAATTATGGTAAGATTGATAAAATATAAAAAAAAGTGAAATTGAATTTGATTTAAAATGGTTCAAATAAAGTTGAAATTTGATTTTGTAGAATTACTTATTGATATCATATTATATATTTTATTCATCAATTCAATAGTCACTTATATTTTAATTATTATTAACTGAAGTAGTAAAATAAGAATTGGTAAAATATAAAATGATATTGACTTTTCTATTCATTTTCTATTTCTTTAATTTAGAATAATAATTGATTTTATATTAATTTTTGTTTATCTAATAAAGAATAAATTGTTATAATAGTTGTTAATCTAGTATTTAATAATATTATTATAAGTAGAATATTTATATATATATATTAAAAAGTAGGAATTTATAATAGCTATAGTCTAAAAAGTACTAAATTAATTGAATTATCCACTTTTCAGAGGCAATATGAAATTTGATATTGAATTATTAAACAATTTATATTATTGTTATAATAAGCAATCTTATTTTATACAGATTCTCGTATTTATTAATTGATAATGATAATATTTAATTAATGAGTAGTTTAGTTAAAAATCAATCCTCAACTAAGATTAACTTTAAAAAGCTGATAAAGAAACTAATAATGAAAATGAATAGAGAGTTGGATAAAAATTAAGAAGAAGCTGCATATCATATAAATCGGGGTGCGTTAGCTTGTTTTACTACGTTATGCAACACTTTGAGTATAAATAATCGAGTGATGTAAGTCTTGATGTTCTAATTAGTGAAGTAAATTTATCAGGATGTAACATTAATGTATATTATGCAATTGAGATTAGTGGTTTAATATAAAAAAACACAAATATATAAATATTAAACTTAGGAAGCTGTTTGATAAATTCATTTGGACTAAGCTGTATATTTAAAGCAGTATAAATATTATATAAATAAACCAGTTAATAGATCATTCAGGATTGAAGATCTTAAATTTGTTTAACAATTAAGCATTTACAACTGCAATAGTCCAAGATTTTTGTAGATATGTTTTATGTGGTAAGAATTAGTTATAAGAAATAAATTTATCTCATTGTAACATTCAAAACTCTTTATTAGCATAAATTATGGATAAAACTCATCATTTAAGTTCTTTGAGGTATAAAAATTCAGTAAATAATTTAGACGATTAAAATTATCTTTGATGTGTTTAAATTCTGAAGGAATTATAGCTTTATCAAGTATGATGCTCAATTATACAGGTAAACTAAATTTGGATAATTTGGATATATCATATAATTAGATAAAAAATGATGGAATAGAATTATTAGCTAAAGGTTTATTTATGTCAGTTAGATAAATAAGAATAAAATCATTGAATTTAAATGGAAATCATATTTCTTAGACAGAATTTTTGGAATAAATAATATTGAAAATTTAATTAGAAGAGTTACATTTAGCTCATAATCAAATAATAGAATTTTAAAATTAATAAGTTCTCAATCTTAAATTATTAAGAGTTGATTTATCTTATAATAGAATTGAAGAAATACCAAATAACTTTTTTCTAAATGTTTTTTATTTAAATCTTTCTAATAATTAAATTAATACAGAAGGAGCTTATTAAATAAGTTAAGTGTTGAGTTCTAATAAAGTTAAATGGATGTATTTAGATTTGACTAATAATATAATAAAAACAAAGGGATTTATTTCAATTATTTATGCATTGATTGAAAATACAAGTCTAACTAGTTTATCTATATCTAAAAATTAAATTACTGGTGAAGGGATTTTAGTATATATTTTTAATCATGAATAAATTAAATTATAATATCTAGATCTTTCATATAATCAATTAAGATATGATTTAGTTTATGCTTTAATATCAATGATGAAGGAATCTAGATTAAAATCATTAATTTTATCATAATTATTTAATGATGAAAATGAAATATAAAGTGGTAAATAAGATTGTTTTGAAATTAAATGTACTAATTTGAAGGAATTAGATTTCAGTTACAATCCTTAAATAATGTTACCTATATTAGAATCACTTAGTAAATAGTATAATAGAATAGAATATCTCAATTTAAATGCTTGTGGTTTGAATAACTCTATTTTAATTGAAAAATTGAGTATTCTAATTGAAAAAACATATACATTAACTACTCTATAAATAGCTTAAAATCATTTAGGTTCTTTAAATCAATAATCTTTAGAATAATTAAGTAGTTCTTTTGGTAAGAATTCAACATTATTAAATATTAATTTATCAAATAATAAATTGAAAGACTCAATCTAATTTCTAATAAATGGATTATAAAATTGTTGTTCTTTAAGAAATTTAAATATTAGAAATAATTTGATTGATGAAAATGNAAATCGTCCTATTGTCGGATGGGTTATGTTAATTCGATCATTTGCGTAAAATAATTACTTTTAAATATATGAGATTTAAAATAGTGAATTTATTTTTCTTGAACAGGTTATAATTAATATGAATCACCAAATAAGAATACTTATATACCACCAAATTAATTAGATGATCTTCTACTAATTTATGAATATATATCCAATAATGATAAAAACATAGGATCTATCATTGATATTTCTTCAATAAATATTATATCAATATATCGTAGTAACTTTTCGATTGATGTTTTATTCTAAAATTAATATCGTAGTATTTTTTGAAATATTTAATTAGTATAATTAAAATTTTTGATTCCTTAAAATTTTAAATAATTTTCAAATTAAATCCATAAATCACTCACCTTTTAATCATACTTTAATTGAAAAAAACTGTGAATGGTTTGAGCATTTATTGCGTCCAAATTCTAAGATCTGCAAATTAATCTTAAATTTTAAACAGCTTATTAAGTAGGACATAAAATATTATAATTTAATCCTGAATCATTTGCAAATTAAATTAAGAACATTATTAAAAATGTTTTCCCTACTCCACCAGGTCCGTGTAAAAATGTACTTTCATTTATCCTTTTTTGTTCTTATTCTCTAGAATAATTTTGAATAATATTTGAGATCATTAAAATTATACATAATCTTTATTATTCTTTTAAATTCTCCCATTAAGTTTAAGTGTTAATCGAAAATGTTATTGTAGCCCAATCTTTGTATTTTATAATCTTTGAATCTTCATATTCTAAAATTGTTATTGCATTTCTATATAAGTATGGATCTTGACTATTTTAATCATCTTGAACTTATGATAATATTTCTTGTTAATCAAAACTTTGAAAATTAAATAATTCTTCGTTTTAACTTGATTTTTTTTTTGGAAAGTATTTTTACACACTGTCTTTTGATGGACACAAATCAAATAATTCAGATGAACCATATTCTTTACATATTAACCCTAAATTAATAATGATGTTTTTGCAAATTTATGACATTTAATCCCAAAATAACTAAACATCTTTTTTAATCTCATTAATCAATTCATTTATTTAAAATTTACATAATTCATCAATAATTTTTTTTGGATCTAAATATTAAATAACAGTCCTTATTTCATCTACACGTTAATATTCTAACTCCTAATCAAGTTAATATTCTATTTAATTGATTAATGATTTGATATAGTCAACTTAAATGTAATTTTTATACTATTAATTGAATTTATTTAAATTAAAATTGAATTTAAATAAATTATCCAATATTCTAATTTAAAACTATTATAGATTATTATACTACTCAACATATTATTTAAAAGGATATTCTGAAAATTTACAATATTTTTATCTGAATTAATTTTTGATGCTATCTTCATTTGGATAATCAAATGTATTAATTAAATTCTCGAATGCATTTTTATATCCATCATAATTATCATGTGTAGTTTAGATCCATGAATTTTTTCTATGAGGCCAGTATAATTGTAGCATTTATAAAAAATAAACATTATTAATACCCTAATATTCTTTTGAAGGGTGTAAATGTGATGTTTAAATAAAAACTTTTTATTTAGATGATATTTCTTTTATTTTAATAATGTTGGAATTCAAATCAAATAAAAAAATGTTATTTACATTATTCTATTATTAATCTGATTTTTATTATTTTAATTTAGTTAAGTATTTGTATTTCTTACCATAAAAAATAGTTGTCATCTAATATTCATAAAAATTTAAATATTCTAATTCTTCAGGCCTGTTGATATAACGATACCAACTATTTGAGATTTAATTAATTTCAAACATTTCTTCAATATTCTTTACAGTAATATAATCTTAATAATCTTCTTTGTTACTTATTTAAACTGCTAAAGGCTATTATTTTATCTTTATAACTCTAAAAGATGATTCAACAATCGGAGTTTATTTAAATGCAAAATATGCTTCTTATAAAGAAGTTACTTTATCGTCTAAATATTTTTTTACATGTTACATTATGGAATTTTTTTCAATTAATTCTTATGGTTATTATTTTGAAGCACTCTCTTTTCCAACAACATTTTTAAATTGTTTTGGACTTTTATTGATATACTTTGTCAAATATCCCAAAATATTTTCATCATTACATAAATTGATTTGACAATTTGAATTAAAAAATTTGACTGTGTCTCTAGAAAAAGTAATTGTGTATTTTTCTTCTGGAATAAATCTTCTTTATTCTATTTCGATTTTGTTATCAACATTATATGAACCTTTATTACTTGCTTTTGGAAATCCTAATCTACATTTTTGAGTGTCTTTTGTTATGCATCTTTCTAAAGAGCAGTGGTGAAATAAATCATATTTGTGTAAAAATTAAGAATCCTTTTCAAGTTTACTATTATATAATGAAAATTCACCCAATAAGTGTTTAACATAACACTCATCGTAAGAATCGTTATTATTTTAATTGATAAAAATAAATAAATGGAAGTGTAACGAACCTCTATTTTAAAATTCAATTCTTGTTACTAGTGCTTTATAGTCTCCAAATAAACCATATTAGTATTAATTGAATTCTTTATCTGGATTCTATTAACTTTTAAACTTATTTTTTATTCCCTTCTTATAATGTTTCATTAAAAATAAA